CCCTTCTCTGGCCTTTTCGCCATTCTCGAGTGTCTTTGACAACGCTGCTCTCCGATCTCATGGAAATCAGGGTTTCCTGAGCCGTTCTGGAGCACCCTTTAGCTACTCCTGGACAATCTTCGCTAGCTGTTCGATTTAGCACTGACCGTGGTAAATTCAGACCCAGGCCGTCGCTTTTGGTTTTCTCTTCGGTCCTTCCGAAGAGAATCATTGAGTTCCTCGAGCGGGCGCCAGTAACGTCTCCATTCGTCCCTGCAACGTGCTGCAACGTGCTGGAGTTGCCCAATGCTTCTCTCTGCTCGAGGGACACGATGAACTTCATACCATTCGTTCAGAGCTTTCACGAAGAAGTCTGACCATCGCGTAGGCGGTCGTCCAGGTGTTCGCTTGACATCCCGTGGAATCCAGTCGGTAGTCGCTCTGGTCCAGCCCCAGCCGATCTTTGGAACCTTGGCAAATGCGGCCGCATCCCAATCTGCAATCGTCGACAGAGTGCGGGGCTCCGGATTCTCTCTCCCACTTGTCCGAATCGAGTCATCGAGCTGGGGCGGAGGGGGGGGGGAGGGGGGGCATATAGTAGGCATGAAACAGGAAAATCACGAAAATCACGAAAAGTCAACCACCTCTCCCTACAACGCCAAAACGTAAATACGACCCCCCCCCCCTTTACAACGTCCGTGAAGCGAGAAAAATCAACTATCAAAATAAATTTTCCCAGCCCAAATACGACCCCCCTCTCCTGGCGGCCAAATACGACCCCCCCTATTGGGGATTCCCCAACAACGATGTGCTCCTGTGCTGAATTTACCTGCTGCTTCAGGCCTCGCCTGCGCGCTCCAATGCGAAATTTCGCGCTATTCGCAATTTGAATTTCATTTTCATGCTTGAAAACGAAATCCAACACTATAAATGATCCTGCTGGTCTTTTGCTTTTACTGAAAATTTATTGGAGTTTTGTATTCTTCTTTGGCAGTGTTTGGAAGTTTGTCGTTGGGAAAAGTCTGCTTTGCGAGTGTTTCTAGTGATTTTCCAGTGAAAAAATCTGCTTTGTTAAAAAAAAACGTGTGTCATCGTCACTGAGTACTTTCGAAGTGTGTATTTGTGCGTTTTGTTTTTCCTTTCTTTGTTTACTCAGTTCTAATCGTTCAAGGATGGAATTCATGTACGACACGGAAGTTGTTTTTACCGAAAGTTTTGCAGCAAAACCCAATCGAACTCTTGTAGTGAACACAAGTGGGTCATTTTAATACAGCTTATCCCTGGTTTTTAGAGTTTCGCTGTAAAATAAGCAAGAAATATGATATAATCGTTCAGATGCACCTCTCCATTCAATTAATACTAACATTGGACCATCCTCTGGAGTATTCACATTTCCATCTGATAGCCACTTTCCCGATCGTTTTATTTTATGGTGAGATTCAGAACTCTGTTTTACCTATTTCTGCAACATGGGACTGCAAACATGTTTCGGCTGATTTGCTCCAGCTTCATCGACGTGCGTGTGGGGGGAGGGGGGAGGGAGGATGCGGCCACTCCACGACGCCCATGTGTCTTATCCCATAATCAAGGCTCCCGAAGCGCAGGCGGTCTGAGTCGCAGCTGGTCGCGCTTGCAGAACAGACAGTTTCTGCGCGGCTTAACCGTTGGGTAGAGTACGAGAAACTGGCGCTGGGCTGTGGCTCTCTGCAAGCGAAGCGATACTGAATTTGTGAAAGTGTAAGTCAGTTCCATGCGAAATGGTGGAGACGATGGAATCGGAGCGGTTACCGGATGGGTTTTTTCGAAGGGTAAACGAATATCTAGAATATTGCCAACCGAACGTTCAATTTATTATTGAGTGCTTTGAAGGAAGGGTGTGGACTGCTTCACATCATTGAGCCGCCAAAAACCAATTTCGCTACTCCTTCGGGCGTTCACTTTTTCTAGCCTTGTCCACATTCGCGACTGGAGCGTTTAGGTCGCGTTTTTCTTTGCGGTTGACAAGATTCGAGAGATGACGCGACGAGAGAACTATAGATATCTAACTATCAGATTGAGGGTCCGGCGATTCGGGACCTATACTGCTTATTTTTTCCTCGTCGCACAGTCTCACCAATCCCCGAGTCTACCAAATAGCTCTCCTCAGTCTGTGGAAAGCGCAACCGCTCCGCCGCTTGTCGTTGGACTACTGCGAAGTTCAAAATGAATTTTGTGAATTTTGTCCTGTGGGTAAGTTAATGAGTGTGGTTAATTTGCAGTTGTATGGATCCAACGATTAGCGATGAAGCGCTATCAATCGCATTTACGCGACTGTATTCGAGTCGTGAGGTAACGCAACCCTTTCCCCACCCGTCCTATCCAGTACTTTCTTGTGAGCACTTCTGCCCGGTCGCAACCGCTCGCACAACCACCGCCTGGTTGCAGAAGATGCATTGTGGTCTGCTTGTTTCTCAGACGGACCTATTGTGCCTCTGATGACCTGCAACACATAAAAATTAATTACTCATTCAAATTTATCTATAATTAGGACATTTCAGGCGAGCAGTAGGGCAAAAGCTCTTCCTAGAAGAGCGTTCACTATGCCGTACTATCGTTGACAGCACATTATGCTTGGTTTTCTCCCGAACACCGATATTGCCTGGCACATCGATAGCATTATTCGACCAGAATGTTCTTTGCATTGTTGTACCAACGCAATCGACCGTTCATAGGTTTTATGCAAGGCTCATTTATGACCCAACGGAAATGATCCACAAGGAGGTTCGTTCTCATGTTAGTTCGGCGCAGTTTGGCTTGGTGGGGGCATCGAATGATACTACGCTGGCCTTGCGGAGACTTGTACATTGCTGTAACCAGAGGGTTTTACTCGGACAATTTCGTTTAGTTTACAGGTCGACCGAAGTGAGACCTGCTAGTTCACATGAACTAGCAAAAGGAATTAGTGAAGTGCAAAATGCCCATTCCAAGCCGAACAGCGCCCTTTATTCTTTTATAGAAAGATGGGTCTTTCAGCGCGCTTCTCATCCGAGCGGTACTTCCATCTTTACGTCTTCGTTTCAGGTCCCCTCAGTTTTCACGCAAATAATAGAGAAAGAGTTCCTGGTCGATAACCACACTTTCTATCAACTATCTACAAATGGGCATGCATTTCGCTCATCGATTATTCACCGACCAGACCTCTCCCGAGTAAGTCATTCTGCTACGGTTCAAATATGACATTTAAAAGTGGCGTATTCAAAAATTTAGATTGCTTATTGCATGACAGAAGGACAAATGGTTGTAGTGACTATGCACGCTAATACATGTGAGTTTTTCTGTACCTCATGGATTGCTTGCTCTTCAGTTCCACAGAGAAGTTGTTTTCCTCGTGATTATGATTTCTCTGGGCGAATGTGGTGTAATAGCAAGTAATACGGGTTACCACGTTCGCGATTCGGTAATCGTAGGATTAGCTACCGCTCGAGGTAGTTTAGCATCTTTCCGGGGTCTATGGTCACCTTTCCGGAGTCTATGGTCACTTCGTGTTCAGTCCCTTTGGATGCATCCATCTTCTGTTATTCGCCGCCCTCTATGTGGCATCCTGTGTTCATATTTACCCCACACATTCCAACTTCTCACAAATGACAAGTAGGTCTCGCATCCCGGAGTCCCCTCCCCGGGCAGAGCGAGGTGGGCGAATCAGATTGGGTTTCCTGAGTAAGCGGCAAAAACCATCCCCATTCTACCTGGATTTTCTTTTTTTTCTGGACTGTTTCCTTTGACCCAGTACTTTTCCTTCTTTCTTTCTGACATATGAATGCTGGTACCGGTCCGTTCCAGTGAACAATACCTAATTGTTCACGGGCTAGCCCCGCGTTATTTTAAAGGCAACCACATTCGAAGTGCCACTGAGTACCTGGATTTGAGTAGAATGCGTACCGCATTTCCAAAGAGTCCTTGAAAACACCGTTATCCTTTTTCCCCCATGTTCGCATGTTCCATGTCTTGGTTGGAATGTGGATAGTTTCCTTAGTTGTAAACATTTCATGAGCTCCTTCTCTTCAGATGATAAGGTAGAAGAAGTGACATTCCGTGAGTATGGACTTATGAAACGCTTGTTGGGAGAAGCGTCATCGGGTGGCGTGTCCGATGTCTCAGGATTGGCCACAGAAAGAGTTGGCCGCAGTGAATCCGAAGATATGTTTTATGCCATTTACCACGACGGTACTTTGCGAGCTTGGAATGCGGAGGTAGTCTCGTTTCAACTCCGATTAGAATTCAGTTCAGATTTATTCGATTGTTCGTTTACTCACCTATTCGATTTCAATTCGAAATTTAGACTCAGCGGGTTCACTCCATTGACGTATTCAAATTGGATTCCGACAGTCTTGACCTGGATTGCTGTAAGAGTTACAGCTCAATTCTCTTTGCTTTGAGAGTAATGGCAACAGCAGATGTGTTTTAGTTTCAGTAAAATCTCTCAATGTGAGGGGCGTATCAGATTCGATTTTTACACTGTATCGCTCCTCGTGTTTCCGCTGCTTTCAACAATGTAAGAATAGCCAGGGTAAGCTAAGCTTTCTAAGTATCGTGTGTATCCGCCCCTCTATCTGGTCAGTTTATTCGTTTCAGTTCCACTTCCTATCTGATAACTATAGAAAAATGACGCATCTATCCACGGTGGTCGCTGACAGTGTTTGTTTTTCTTTCAGTTTTCTTAGCCTCCTTCATGCTTAGCGACTGGGGAAGATGCGGCGATTCGGCGGGCGACCAAAACCCCGAATCTCCGAGCCTCTCAAATTGCCTAATCGCTGAATCTCTCAAATCGTCAGATACCCGGTTCTCCAGATCAACCCATGTACTTTCCTCGTCGCGCAGTCTCTCATCGAGTCTTCCAAATCGCCGAATCTCCGCAGTCGCAAAGCATGGACGAAGCCTAATCGTTGAGTATCAAAACAGAACATGTCTTCCAATCTCATTCCATCATTTTAGGGTGAGGCCCTATTGGATTTTGGAGTCGTTCACAAAAACAGTGGTTCACGTTCTCTTTGGGCAATTTGGAATTCGATGTCGACCGCAAATGAGTATTTTGTGGAATACATTGATATAGAACTGTGAGTGCACTTAAATCTGTTGTTCATACGTAGCTTGAAACTTGAAAATTGAGGTCTTATTCAAATGGTGGAATTGAGAGAATCCACGAATTACAGATAATTTGAATCTGGAGGGCATCGTCATGATGGGAGGACTAGTGTTGTAAGTATGAACCCTTATAAGAAGGGTCTCGGTAACACATTTCAACACATGTCCGCTCGCTAAAATTTCGCTCATTGACGAGGAGGGGGGGGGGGTAAACGGATCCCACGGCCCACGACTCGCGGTGCGACCACGCCGTCCACGCCAGGAAAACCGCTACGTAACATTCCCGGATCAATAAATGTACTTTTCCAGCGACGCGCCCCACTTGTGAGTGGCTATTCAACGTACCTGAAACGGGAGAGATCGCACAGTCGAACGTCTCCCTGCCCCTGGTCATGGAATCTCCCCACCCCTTCCATAATTCTCTCCAAAGACCGATGTGCTTGAGTGGCATCTATTTTGCCAGTTTTGCACTAGCTATAGGAAAGCTGGTTGAGTAGCAGTACTGCTTATTTGGACCGCGCGCAGCATAGTTTTCCAGCAACAGTGGTCGCCTGCCAGCTTCCACAAATGATTGGAAAAAATCTGGCGCTGCGCTAGAGCCGCCCCGCTCAAAAGCCCCAGCATCCCGCAGCTGTAACTCAGGCTGCTATGTGGTTCTAATGACCTAGAGTAATTGTTCGAGCTGTACGATACTTTTTCTGTAAAAATAACACGACCGGTTTTTTTAAAGACCTCGTTTTCAATCTTTTGAGTATATTTGTCTGATTCATTTCTTGAACCAGTTTTTTTCCGTCTCTTCTATGCGTATTGTTCGTGCAGAGTTGGCGCAAGGTTTAATACTTTTCGTTGCCCGGATCCCCGTTTCAGGATGCCATGACTGTAACAGAATTGAAAGAATCCATATTCAACATAGATTCTCACCCGTTTGAGATCGTTTCTAGATCTGTGCAGGTCAGTTCCCGATTTTCAAGCCTCATCGCTGTTTTTTTGTTTATCTTTTCTCTGTTTCTTTATCGTTCATTCATAGATCGCATGTCAAGTCATCGAATGTGATGTTGCTTCACTGGAGACTGGCGTCTGCTTTGACTGCGCATGTTGATTCGTATCTGCGCTCTCCTGAGGTAGAGTATTTCCGACCACCCCCTTCTCCAATTTCCTTTAGGGGTTTCAGTGCAGAGTACGAAAGTTTTTTTTTCAGTTGATACAACTACGGTCATCGTGGTAGTAGAACCATAAAGTCGTCGTCGAGTGACTCACAAAATGAAGCAGAACAGAGGTATGTTTTTTGAGTAATATAAAACTATTACTTAAAGATAGTCTCTTTTCCTGTGACAGTGTGTATTTACTTTGCTTGAAAGTTTACAATTTGGCTGCTACAAGCGATGCGCCGTTTTTAAATCAATACAATCTTGTTCGCCGTGGTGTTATTTGACTGTGTTTATGCCTACAGTATTTAGCGCGCTCATTTGTAGACTCATTTTTGCTTAGTACGAGTTTCAATACCCGCCATATTTCCGAATTTTCAAAAATCCAAGATCCAATCCACAACGAAATCCGTTTGTACTTTCGCGGCAAGCCATTCGTGTGCTCAAAAAACTGGATGGGGATTGACTGACCCCCGAGGTCAGCGAATGGGAAGGATAGGAGCTCCGCTCACTTAAGTGGAAAGCGATTAAATTCTATTCTTCTATTCCTACTTTCCTCCGCAATCTCCCTGTGCTCATATTCGTCTGACCGCTGGAGGTCGGATCAACATCAGTCAGTCGGCTGACATGTACTCCCTAATCAATTTCCAGAGTATCCTCTTCTCCTGTGTCACGAACTATGTACCCCATTTTATGTACCTGTACTGGTCATGGTTTTTCAAAGTAGAGCGGACACTTTTCATCAGATTCTTCACGTCTCTGTCACGCACATGTGACCAGCTTGAAGTGGCTGCTCGTGGTCCTCTTGGATTGTTTATTCTTGATATGGTCGGAGCAGTTTTGACTGGAGTTATTCACCAGGTGCTAAAGTATTCTCGTCAAATTTCTTTTCCATGCTTGATTTTTTTCCCCTTCGTTCCCTTTGATACCATCCCTTTACTTTTCTTTTTCTCTTATTGATCTATTTGCCCTGTGGATTATGCAAGTTTCTCATAGGATCGATTTTCTGTGATACTGAGTGGCGAATCGAAGTTGGTCGATGAAATGAATTCACATGTAAATTGTGAGGATATGAGAACAAAAGGTTTCTTTCACTCTAGCTATAGAGAGAGCAGCAGCTAAGGTAGGTTCCTATTTTCAATTCGTTCTGCTGGTTAGTTGACCTATAAGGATAAAATTGTTGGTCAAAATGTGCATTCTACCAAAACATAGGTGCTAGTTGTCATCGACACATAAGTTTCTGAATTGCCAACCGGTTCAGTATTTTTGGAGACTTCGACGGGTTATGTGACGGAGATTTTTCAATTCCTAAAATGCTCTTGTTTTGTTCAGGAGGAAGACGGCATGGTTTTGGATGAAAGTGGAATTGTAAATGGGCCAGCTCATAGTCACATGCCAACAAGGGCAGAATTGGTAAGTTTTACGTTTACCCGCCCTTATAGCCAGGGTCTGATGGCTGACAAAGTTCAGTTGGCTGCACAACAGCCACCAGCTGTAAGGAAGGCTGGAGCGTGTTGTATACGTGGACATAAGGAAAATTGTCCCTCCGTTCTGCTTTGATTGCACTTACCAGCCCGACTTAGATTGCGTCTTGCTCCTGGTCTGCCCAGTTTCCTAACTTTCGTTTTTGCAGATAGTGAAAAAGTGGAGTTCTGTTATGGACACATTTTTGAACGAAGTCGTCTGCAGTGACTGGTCGCGAGCAGTAGAGTCTTTTCGCTAGCTTGCCAGGAGCTATTTGCTCGCACTTATCCGGATCGAACTCTAGACAAACATTATTGTATGAGGTTCCACTTTCGACGTCAAAAAAACAAAAAAACGAACACATTCGATGGAAATTTTGTTTCTGGATTGATCTCTTCCACCCTTCGCCATGTTGTTCAGCAGCGTCTTAAGATTGCAAAGAGTTTGTTAGCCGTGATACAACTTTATGAGGAAGACAGGGTTCGTTATTGTTGTGATATTGAGGGAAGTTCCTGGAGGCGTTACGGTTCTGCTTCTTTTTCAGGATCGCTTTAATTATCACGTGTTCGACTTTCCTGGTCTAGAGGATCAATTCAATGAATTTATTGCTCTTTACACCCTTTTTAATGCTCAACTTTCACTCAAACTCACTAAGTATGTTTGTCTTGATAGTTTCTGCGACACATTTGACAGGAACTCTTAGTTCTTGAGAACCAGATTCTTGAGGTAGTGTTCAGACTTCGCGATGACGCGCCACGACGCATCGCATCGGCGCGCTACCACTGCAGTGGCGCTTCAGTGCTACGGGTAGATGGGTACCGATTGGCGCCGGGCGCATGTGTTTTGAGAGAGTTCTGTAGGATAACAGGAGGGTAGCTGCTGCTCTCAAACAGTCTGGTACCCTCCCATATTTCTGTGCTCTCCCAAACACCAGCGACCGGCGCCGATCGATACCCGTCTGCGGCTGCGCACCCGCCTATAGCATAGGACGCCACTGCAGTGGTAGCACGCCTGCGAGCGTTGCAGTATCGTGGAGTCTCAACGCTGCCTACAGAACGTTTAATAGCTTATTCTGTACTCGTCCATGCTTTTGTGCTTTTCCAGGGATAGTGCCCAGGTATCGCTCTGTAGCTGGTTTATGGCTGGCGAAGGTGTTGAATGGGTTCGTGATGCTGCTCAAATCGGTGACATCGACGAAAGCAGCACAGTTCCACAATTTAACGAATTTCTCAGTGCTGTTGTAAAAGTGAGTAAATAACCCTCCCTCGTTGCCATTCCCATGAACTGAATCATGTTACAGGCATCACTAAAACTTCTGTCTCCAAAGTCACCTCAAGCGCTGTTGGCGAGGAGTTTGGCAACCTATGATAAGTATCACGCTCTCATGGTAAGCTACAATAATGCATTTAGCGCTCAGTGTTATTTGAGGCCTTGTAGACAAAGGTGGTGGAATGGTAAGTGTCGCCGCTTCCCAAGAGCACGATACGGGGTCAAATCCTGTGCCTTTTTAGACCAGGCCAACCAAGCCTGACGTTTGTCTGGGTCTGTAGTCAAACATGCTAATTCAAGCTACTCTACACCCATAACCTGGTGCTGCCTAGGCGAAAACTGAGTAGTACCATGTGCACTCGACGGGCACTCCTGGACACTCATTTTACTCGCACTTGAGGGTACTGTATCCCGC